GCCTGGGGTGTTCTCTTCCTGGATGTTATGAAGTATTAATTACTGATTATTAGATTATACTATGTGGATATCTAGGTATCAACACTATGATCTTAATGATGGTGGCAATAGAGGGGGGAAAAGACTGAAATGTTTGTATTTAAATAGAGTTATATTAAATAATTTATTTCTATGAAATGCAAATTACTGAGAGTATCTATTTTCTTACTTATATGTCAAATAACCGGAGATGGTGTAAAGTCAATATAGCCATTGAAAACATAATCCTATGCAAAGTTATGGCTGTTGACTTCTGAAAAAGGAAGAATACGCCTATGGCTCACTGTATTTGTATCATGTCTTACTTCGCAATAGCTAAAGCATTTCTGGCCCATTAGGGCTCATTCTTTCAAAGTGTATTAGCTTTTTTGGATCCTTAGGTACTATTTAATTAATTGGTAATTCCACTCTGGAGGTCAAATCCAGATTCTTTGTAATCGGCTCATTCGGCTATATGTTATATAGCCTAACAAATGAGGTCAAGTCACAAAATTCTCTACACATCTGTAATGAAATGTTAATTAATGTACATAATTGTGATCTTAAGACTAGCTAGGAGCCCTGGTGGCCGAGTGGTTAAGAGCTCGGCTACTAACCAAAAGTTCAGCAGTTCAAATCCTCCTGCTGCTCCTAGGAAACCCTATGGGGCAGTTCTACTCTGCCCTATAGGATTGCTATGAGTTAGAATTGACTCGATGACAATGGTTTTTTGTTTTCACTTTTTTTTTTAAGATAGCTAAGATCCTGAAGTATCATCCAAAGGAAGGATATATTATGCTTAACATAGTTTTAATCATGAGCGGATTTTCAAAATAGTCTACTTTTTTGATAACCGTTAATCCATATATAGATGGAAGCTCTAACTTGCTTATATGTTTGGTGAACTGGAAAATTCTATTCCCTCAGGTTGCTGGCTAACAGAAACCACTGTGCCAGTTTTACAGGGAAAACTGAGTATGAGGTAATTTAAAGGTTTTCATTAATTACAGTCAAATCAGTGGTAGAACGAGAATAAAATCCAATGTCCTGAAAAACCATGCATTGTCCATCCGGCTTTCCTTCTTTTATTGCAATACTAAAATTTTTATTAGCTCCAAATATAAGCCCAGCATGAGGCAAAAGTTATAAATTCAATGACAAAATCAGAATTGATGAAATATCAACTCAGAAACTTTAGTTGGGGAGTAGGGGAAGTGTGGGGGGTGAAATTCTAAGCAGCATTCTTTTTCAGACCCTCTTAAGGATGTGAAGAATGCTTTCTATCAACTAAGTGATAAAATTTCACGTAGTCATGTTTGTTAATGTTTTTTTCAGAGGAATTAAATTGTAAATAAGATGAAAAATTCCGAAAGAGCTGAAGAGATGCAAGACAATTATCAGAGAAATGGGTAAGCTTTGCTTAAATTCTATAAAAAGTGTTTTACTTCTGCAACTTCAAATATGCCTTATTCTTTCACAGCTGTAGCAAAAGTGTTTACAGTTTTCTCCAAAAATAGCAGTGCTGTATTTAATAGTGATTTTAGGACTGGTAACAGCTGTAGGGAGCCCTGGTGGCACAGTGGTTAAGTGTTTGGCTATTAACCAAAAGGTTAGCAGTTCAAATCCACCAGCTGCTCCTTGGAAATCCTACGGACAGTTCTACTCTGCCCTAGAGGGTCGCTATGAGTCGGAATTGACTCATCGGCAACTGGTTTGGTTTTTTTGGTTAATAGCTACAGGATTTAATTCAGTTCTTCAAATATTTCCTCTTCTGAATTTCTTGTAACTTACCAGCGTATAAAGGAAAGATGCCTGAATATTTTCATTTAAATTCTCTATGGATCCTTCACTCCATGTGGTACATTTAATAAAAGAAAATGTTGGATTCTAATTATTTTTTCACTAAATACATGTCTGTGTGTATATGTATGTTATAAAGCTCCCTCAACTATAATGAATTAATTCCAGCTTTACAAAGGAAACATTAAAAAATCTAATTTATTTCCACTTTTTCTACAATAATGTGGAC